TGTGCTCAAGACTGAGTAGGTGATACGTCACCATAGCTTTAGCTGTCCTATGCTGACAAACTTAAAGTTTCTTGTGTTGTGCAGAGCGAAAATTTTGGTAGCACTTCGGCAGCACAACAAGAGAGTTAGGTCGCAATAAAAACTCTCTTTTGCACAGCCGCCTTTTTGCGTTCTCACCCTCTGCCTGCACGCCCACCAAAACCCTAGAAAGAGCATGCTATTTATAGCTGAGACTCCAGGCTCAAAAACCGAACTCTGTCTCGCGTGGGTTGGGATCCTCACGCGCTCACAAATCGCGTGGGTTGGGCTCACAAACCGTGTGGCCCCCACGCGTTGAAAATGCGTCTCGTGATAGGGGTGAGGCCCTATCACCTTCCGCGTTCACAATTCTCCACATCGGCGAAGTTTTTTCAAAACTGAGCCGACACCAAAGCAACCAAATGTCCCACTTGTTGTGTCTAGTATGCCGTGAAGTTAATTCACGACAACAGACTCAATCCACAATAAGTCGGGAACTCGAACGAGAGCTTAATCAATCTCCCCTATCGAAATCAACAAATCCAGCCGGCTGCATCTAAAGACTGCCTATGTATCCTCTTGCCCATGGAATCAAGCCTCATGTAGTTCACCCAAATGGCAGCCAACGACCTCAACAATCACGAATGTGCAATAAATTTCGATAATGATCAAACTTGTTGCTCGGAACCATCTTAGTGAGCATATCCGCCGGATTATCCTTTGTGTGGACTTTCACAATTTCCACATCGTCATCTTCAAGAACATCCTGAACGAAGTGATAACGAACGTCAATGTGCTTCGTCCTCGCGTGAAAAATCTGATTCTTCTCCAAATAGGTAGTATTCATGCTATCACAATGAATAGTGACGGATCGTTGCGATATATCAAGTTCCTTCAAAAGTCCTCGAAGCCAAATAGCCTCCTTCACAGCCTCCGTAATCGTCATATACTCTGCCTCCGTCATAGACAAAGTCACCGTCGACTATAAGATGCATCTCCAACACATCGGCACACGCGTCAAAGTAAACACATACCCCGTCGTAGACCGACGCTTATCAAAATTCCCATCATAATCCGAATTAACATAACTAATGCATACCTACCCACCTATAGTGTTCCGCTCATAAACTAAACCAACATTGAGCGTACCTCGAATGTACCTCAAAATCCATCTCACGGCATCCATATGACCTACTCCTGGATCGTGCATGTATCTCGAAACCATGCTCACCGCCTGTGATAAATCTGGTCTCGTACATACCATCACATACATCAAGCTCCCAACCATGCTCACATATGGAGTCTTCGATATCAACTCTTGATCTTCAATTGTCTTTGGTGAAAGATCAACTGAATGCTTTAAATGAGCTCCTAATGGTACACTAACTGGCTTCGTATCCATGCTAACATAAAATTGCTGTAGAACCTTCTTCAAATAAGCCACTTGTGTCAAACAAATTCTGACATTCTTCTTGTCTCTACCGATCTTCATCCCTAAAATGCGCTTCACCTCACCCAAATCCTTCATCTCCTTTGAAAGCTGTGTCTTCAACTCATCTATAACATATCTGGAAATAGAGGTAACCAAAATGTCATCGACATAATATAATAAATAAATGTACGTACCTCCCTTCAACTTGTGAAAATATACGCAATGATCAAACTAGTTCCGAGTGTACGAATGACTAATCATAAAACCATCGAATCCCCTATACCACTGTCGAGGAGACTGCTTCAAACCGTATAGCGATTTTTTTCAATCTGCAAACTAATTTTTCCTTCCCTGCAGCTTGGAATCCCAATGGTTGAGTCATATATATTTCTTCATCAAGATCACCATGAAAAAAATACCGTCTTCATATCTAACTGATCTAACTCCAAAACCATACTGTGACACCAAAGCTAGCAAAATCCGAATCGAAGAGTGCTTCACCACCGGAGAGAAAATCTCATTATAGTCAATACATTTCTCCTGTGCATAGCCCTTCGTAACCAACCTAGCTTTGAACCTCAATGGAGTGCCCTCAATGTCCTCCTTCTTTGTGTATACCCACTTGCAACCAATTGCATTCCTTAGAAATATATAATTTGCTAAATTTTTAATGTTTACCGTTATAGAATGGTGCACAATGAATTTCTATTAGGACAATTCTTAGAAGGCGTTTCAAAGAGTCTCTCTAGTTGCTATTTTATTTTGATTTGAAGGATTCAATTCAAAGTATCTTAAGAATCAGTGGATCTAACAGCAATTTCAATATGATTTGAGCCACTAATTTCAAAATATATTAAGCATTTAGGGTCTTAAGAGCAATTTAACTACTTTGAAGTGCTTAGGTCAAAATGAAAGTTTAAGAGACAAACATTGGAATGAAAAAAAAACCTTCTGGTTAATTATTGGCGGCTTATTTTCACCTTGGTACCCCAAAGTTTATCCACCTTCTCATTTTGATGCCTCAAAGCACTTTTTTAACACTTAAAACCCAAACTTTCAATCTTGCTATCCTTTGATACACATAATTATTTCTTTAACACTTTAATACCCTAGATTTAAATTACAATCTCACTTTGATACATTGTCCATATATACTTCGTTAGAAATATTCTGTTAAATTTCTATCACATCCTTAGCATATGATTAGCATGTAATGCATTTAAATCTATTTTACCTAGTCACTAAGCATGCCATACAAACTTAACAAAATATTGAATGGAATATAGACATGGGTATCAAAATGAAATTTGATAGAAACTTTGTTACTTTGTGATTGATTTTCTGTTGAGAGAAAATAGAGGATCGAATATAGATAAGTACTTATTATTATTTTAATTGCATGGAAAGAGTAACTAAAACATGCATGTGTCTTCTTGGGGCCCACCATGTATTGCGGACTTGGTTCCGCAAGCAGGCTGGTGGCGCTTAAGGCATTTTATATAACTAATGATAATTATATAAAACACAAAGTTTACATCTAAGAAAAATTAGCTACACACATCCTATAGCATATAATTAACTATATAATCGATAGTATATATCTATATATTGTAGTATGCCGCGTTGCACTTTATATTATATAGGTACGTATATGCTATATTGGATGTAAATAAACATTATGTTTTGGGTGCATGAGAACGTATAGAACCATGTGAGTTTCAAAGTAAATGAGGGCAAAACTTTGCTTTTATAAGCAAATCCCTATTATTTATTACTCAAGCTCACTAAGAAATCACAAGCCCAGTTACACGTAACCGTACCGGGGGTCTCACCAGGTAAAAAAACATGTATTAACCACTGCTTAATAGGCCCCACCTGTGTTTTTTTTTTTTACATAAAGGGTTACATAAGAAAAGAATAGAATCCATTTAATTAAGAATATGACATCCCCATTTCTCTTTTTTTTTTCATTTTTTTCAGTGTTTATTAGTTAAAACAGAACTGCAGAGTTCCAAATTTAATTAAATTTTTTATATCCAAGTAAGTTTAAAATGAATTAAGATTTTGTATCTAAGTAAGATTAAGTTTGATACCTTGAGACTCTATTGTGACACAATTTGATACCTGTAATGTTAGTCTCGAGAGTGTAGATCAAACCTGTAATCAAATCAACGAAGAAAACTAGAAAAACCCAGTCCGGTCGATCGAATCGACTGTAGGAAAACAGCCCAGGAAACTCACTCTGGCCGGTCGACTGAAGCTTGGTGTCGTCGAACCGGAGAGTGGTGGCATCTCGGTCGACCGAACGCGTTTTTTTGCAGTTTCTGTATTTGATTGGGATCTGCGACCGTTTTGCGGGCTGGGTTAATATGTATATAATACTAGTATAGTATAGTATATATATACTTATATATGATATATATATATACTAATTATATAACTACGATATAGTATACGTATATATTATCCTAATCGTTTTTAGGTTACTGCTAGGGTTGTCTGAACACCGCCGCCGAAAAAGAGGGGTTCTTGGAGGCATCTTTGATATTAGAAATTCCCTTAGAGAGAGAAAGACCAATTGTTGGAGGATTGTACATCTCTTCCAATTAATCAAAAGAAATTGTGGTGGTGTGCTCCTCCGAGATGACGGTATGCCGTGTGCCAACCCGGAAACCGCGTCGTTAAATCTGGGTGTTCCTGCTATTTTGTTTGAGTATTTCCTAGCAATTATTTGATTTGCGTGGATTGTTCTTACTTGCTGAAGCGTCTTAGTATGAAGATCCCGAAGGGCACGAGTTCGATTGATTGTTTTGCGTAATTCCAAACTGTACGATGCTCACCTGACTTTAGTCCTACGCCAGCGCTGTGGGAAATTGAATGGTTTATATACGAAAATATTTACCGCGAGTGGCAAGACAATTAGTGCTTAACAGATTTTTTACGAAGAATGAAGTCAAACAACTTGCGTTGCATTTATGCGAGTCTCTACGAGTTACTCTGTCAAATACGGGCTCGTCATTTGGGGCATACAAAAGACGTGCAGAGCCCTAAACTTGTTTTACTTCATGCTAGCACCCCAACTTCGAAAAGGAAACTAAAAGTTTGATGAGAAAATCAGTTCATCATTCATATTTCCATGTTGATATTTCTTCACACAATTATTAGCATCAAAAAATTTTCCAGTATTCGGGCATCAAAATTGAAAAAATAAGTACGTGGTTGAGTGTACTTGATGCTCTAAAGTTTACACTATTTTATCAGCTTTAATACTCAATTTTAGCCGGGTCATTTTGATAGGCGGGAGAAGGTTACGAGGTGGGGTTTACCTCTCATTAACTTTGATATGGCAAGTTTTTTTTTAAACTGTCAAATAGTACTGTTGGGATATCTATGAGAGTCATAAGAGGTCTAAGACTTGAACGGTGCCAAAGAGCACATGACCCCAAAAAAGTTTGAAAAATTTAAGGGTATTAAAAGTGCAAATCAAGGCGTCTAGTAATTAATATCAATGAAGTCAACACATGAACAACAATCAGAACGATCACATTACCAGGATGCCATTGGCGAACGCGCAAGAGGAACGGTGAAAGACGAGTGGAGAAGGCGGCGAGCTCGGTGCGCAATTGGTGGCGCGATTAAAGGCCTGAGTGATGACGGAGGATGCCGATACGTCGAGAACGCGGGTAAGATGGCGGGCCGCGCCAAACAGCGCCACAGCATTCTCGTTCTCGCCCGCCAAAGTCTTGCTGGCTGCAAACTTCTCTCATCTCCTTCCTCCCCTCGGTCTTCTCACCGTCAGTGCAGACTTTCACCTCGGATCGTTGCTCTCCATCTCTCTCTCTCTCTCTCTCTCTCTCTCTCTCTCTCTCTCTCTTTATTTATTCTTCTTTTTGGAAGTGCATTTAATGGGAGAGTGAGAGCTTCGGTTGGTTGCTTTTAAATGTTTTCGGGTAGCTAGCAACTCAGTGACCATGCTGTCGTGGGAAGTGGACGATCGCAATTTATATAGGAAGGAGGGGGGAAATCCTATAAATGGTGCCTCATGGAAATCCACACAGGGAGGCATTAGATCATGACAGCTATAAAGGCTAAGCAGCAGTTATATACCTTACTGTTTCATCAACTTTTCACTTTTGTATCCTGACTTTCTCGATCGGCGTTCGTTCATGAGGTGAAAAAAACTCCGATCATGAAGACGATGATGACGGTGATGACGAGTTGCGTCGCCAACCCCCTTAAGTTTACATAATTTTATATTTTTTTTAAATTGATGACTTGAGATTAAATTAGAGTATGTAAATTTATATAATCTTGTTATTTCACTGTAATAAGTTTATTGTTAAGCTTATGAGTTAGTGGTGAAGGAAGGTTACGTGTTGTTTTTGAAGCTTACGCGTTAGTTGTGAAGGATACACCTTGATTGTGAAGGTGTTACAGGTTGGTTGTAAATGTTACGTGTTGGTTGTGAATGTTAATTGTTATTTTGAAGGTTACGGGTTGGTTGTGAATGATACGCATTGGTTGTGAAAGTGTTACGGGTTGATTGTGAAAGTTACGAGTTGATTGTGAAGGTCTTACGGGTTGGTTGTGAAGGCCTTACGGGTTGGTTGTGGAGGTTACGGGTTGGTTGTGAAGGTTACGAGTTGGTTGTGAATGTTACGAGTTGATTGTGAAGATTACGAGTTTATTTTTAAGGCTACGCATTGGTTGTGAAGGTTACGAGTTGGTTGTTAATGTTACGCGTTGGCTGTTAAGGATAAGCGTTGGTTGTGAAGGTTACACGTTTATTGTTAAGGTTACGGGTTGGTTGTTAATAATAAGCGTTGGTTGTGAAGGATACGGATTGGTTGTTAAGGTTACGCGTTGATTGTGAAGGTTACGCGTTGATTGTGAAGTTAACCTTCACAGCCAACTCCTTATATACCGTGCGAGATAGTAACAAGATTACTTGATGTGCCTCCAGGATAGCAGGAAACCAGTATCAGGCCAGCGGCATACTAGGAAGGCAACTTTAACAATTTGCTAATGAAATATCCTGATAATGGCATCACCTGCATGCAAGAAGTAACTTCTTCAAAGCTGATCCCGGGAACTAAAATTTTACAACAAATTAAATTCCTTCTTGATCAATTTTCTTATTAGTAACTTGATCATTCTAGATTAAAGAAACTCGAATTGTTTCTGTTCTAGACCATCAGAAATATATATTAATCATTGGCTAATTATATGGGTTTTCTTCTCGAGTTCTAGTGGAAGACCGAGATTAACAAACAACAACCTGACAGTGCAGGATATTGTTTTATAACACATTTGAGATTAAGAAACAACAACCTGACGGTGCATGATATTGTTTTGTAACACATTTGAAATTATGAAAAAGAATACAAATCAGCAAGTCCTTTGACTGTAATTTGTCCAGGCATAACATGATAGTTTTGTTCCCCTCAAGTGGATGATTCCTTGATATGTAACAAGATTCCTTGAAATGTAACTCCTTACCAAGGTTGGTTGTGAAGGTTTTACGGGTCGGGTTGGTTGTGGAGGTTACGTGTTGGTTGTGAAGGTTACGGGTTGATTGTTAATGTACACGTTGGTTATGAAGGTTACGTGATGGTTGTTAAGGTTACGAGTTGCTTGTTAAGGCTAAGGGTTGGTTATTAAGGATAAGTGTTGGTTGTGAAGGTTACACATTAGTTGTTAAGGTTACGGGTTGATTGTCAAGGTTAACTTCACAACCGACGCGTAACATTCACAACCAACGTTTATCCTTAACAACTAACTCATAATCTTAACAACCAACCTGTAACATTCACAACTAATGTATAACCTTAACAATAAACCTATAACTTTCACAACCAACCAATAACATTCACAACCAACGCGTAACCTTACCAATCAACCCGTAATATTCAAAAAAAAAAAAAAAAAAAAAAAAAAGAAGGGGAAGGGAAATTTTTGGGGCAAAAAATAAGGGATATGAAATAATTATATGTAGGTTTGCTAACCGGCAAAAGCTGCGGAAATGGAAACGGGAGGAATCGGCGGATTCTAAAAAGTGAATTTTTAGCAAAATATAGATAGACAGTGTAAAACCCCGTAAATTTGAATATTTTATGATAAATAATGATAAATATGTCATATGGAGAAAAATAAAATATTTTAATGTTTGAGTATGATAAGAATTGATTTGAGATCAAATTAATGTATATTTGTGAAAATATGAGTGCAAATGCACAAAACATGCACAAAGGCCAAAAGAGTGAAAATCTGGGAATAATGACCAGTTGAGAGTTTTTATATTTTACACACCGATACATTCCGAATTTGGAAAAGTGTAAAAGATTAAAGTTGTATGTCTCTTCAACAGCTTTCCAACAAATCTTAGATCACCTCATTCCGAGGTAGGATGAGAAAGTTACAGCTAAAATACCGAAGGTTATTTTCCTAGTCAGACTAGGTTTCCTCGTTCGGGTCAAACAGTTTTGTTTCGGGTTTGTCTCTATAAATACTTGTGTTTTTCATAAAAATTCTTTTCTTTTATCATATCTATGAACCCTAGCAGTCACCCTCTCCTCTCAAAAACCCTAGACCTTTTTCGTTTGAGTTTGAAGAGCTTTGTGAAGCAAAACACCGGCACGAGGGCGAGATCATCGATGTGTGGCGAGGGAGAACGGGTTGTTCATGCTCGTGGTTTGCTTGCTGATTATTTCAGATGCTTGCACATAAGATTAAGGCAAGATCATTTAAATTTAAACCCATCCCCATAGTTAAATAATTAGCTTAGAAGTTTAATTTGTGTTTACATGCTTAGATCTTAATCTAATGTGAAAAAGATTAGATTTTTGTTGTTAGATCTTAAACAAATGTTAGATCTATATGTTTTTCTTACTGTTTATAATAGAAATATGATCATGATCATTAGGGTTGCTTTTAAATTCGTTTTTATCTTCTTAATCATATGCTAATCATATTTAAACCCTAATTTGCCTTTTAATTGAGTTTGCATGTGGATTAAAGATGAGAAAACCCTAGGTTTGTGATACCTAAATATTAAAATATAATTTAATGAATGAATATCTTTCCTAAGTTGATTGGTAATCATTCTTATGTTTAATATGTTAAAAGTCCATGCTTTAGATTGAAGAATTTGGTTAATCTAAAGAAAGAGGTTTGATTCATTGTTTTGAGCCTTCATGCATGTTTTAGGGTTTTGAATACAAATCTAATGCATAAAATTATATTTATAATTGTTGAGTTGTTTTTAGATGTTCTCATCTGTTTGGCATGTTTACATACAAATTTTATGAAGTTTTAGACATGTTTATATCGGGGAAACACGACATGATCACGATACATACAACCAGTTTGAAGAAACTGAAATTTGGATCCACGGTCGACCGCCACGGTCGACTGCGTGCAGGACAGAGACCTGGGTAGTCTCTGGAGGCCGCCGCTTAAGGCATTTTATATACACTAAATGATAATTATATTAAAACACAAAGTCTTACATCTTAAGAAAAATAGCTACACACAATCTATAGCATATAAGTCTAGACTATATAATCGATGTATATATATCTATATATTGTAAGTAATGGCGGTTGCACTTTATATTATCATAGTACGTATATTGCTATATTGGATGTAACATAAACATTATTGTTCTTTCGGGTCGCATGAGAACGTTTATAGAACCATGTGAGTTCAAAGTAAATGAGGCGCAAAACTTTGCTTTTATAAGCAAATCCCTATTATTTATTACTCAAGCTCACTAAGAAATCACAAAGCCCAGTTACACGTAACCGTACGGGGTCTCACCAGGTAAAAAAACATGTATTAACCACTGTTAATAGGCCCCACCTGTGTTTTTTTTTTTTACATAAAGGGTTAGCATAAGAAAGAATAGAATCCATATTTAATTAGAATATGACATCCCCATTTCTCTTTTTTTTTTCATTTTTTTTCAGTGTTTATTAGTTTAAAACAGAACTGCAGAGTTTCAAATTATTAATTAAATTTTTTATATCCAAGTAAGCTTTAAAATAGATTAAGATTTTGTATCTAAGTAAGATTAAGTTTTGATACCTTGAGCCTATTGTGACACAATTTGATACCTGTAATGTTAGTCTCTGAGAGTGTAGGATCAAACCTGTAATCAAATCAACGAAGAAAACTAGAAAAACCAGTCGGTCGACTCGAATCGACTGTAGGGAAAACAGCCCAGGAAACTCACTCTGGCGCACGTCGACTGAAGCTTGGTGTCGGTCGACGAGAGTGGTCATCCGGTCGACCGAGCGGTTTTTGCAGTTTTCTGATTTGATTGGGATTCCGTTTTGGGCTGGGTATTATATATATATATATATATATATATATACTATATATATATACTATATATCATTATATATTTATAATTATATTATATTATATATTCCAATACATTTTAGGGTTTGCTAGGGTTTTGTTGAACACGAAACAAAGGCGGGTTTTGGAGGCTCTTTGATATTAGAAATCTTATAGAGAGCAGAGAGACCAATTGTAGCATTGTAATCTTCTTCAATTAATCAAAGAATGTGTGTGGTGTGTGCTCTCGATGAACGTATGCACGTTGCCGAACCTCGTTAAATCTGGTGTGTTCCTCTTTTG